TGTTCTCTATTGATTCCTATTGATTTATTTTACAGTTTAAAGGCATGATGGTATCCGATTTAGAGTTTAAAATGCATGTATTACTGTCTTACTTGACCACTGTGTGATTTTAGAATTTAAGATATAATTGTATTACCGGGTGCATGTTCATTGTTTATGTGATTGTATTTAATTTGGTAACGGAGATTAAGAAGAAACAGGAAAGGGATGTGATCTAATAAACAGATAAGGTGACAGCCTCACTAGATATCCTGGGAGATGGTGGACGGACCGGGTTCATAGAAAACTCTACTGTGAATGTTATCTCATACCGAACGAGATATGGAGACTTGATCATTTGGCGCTCATACCGGAAGGGGTATGAGGATGGTCCTAGAATTAAGATTGTTAAGGGAAAGGGTTCACATATAGCGGGGATACCCCTATGGATCCTCATGGATACTAATAGGCTGGTGAAACGAGAAATGGTGATGATTAGTTATTGTTAATGAATATGAATTTATGATATGTTTTATGTTACTGATTGTGCATGAAGTCATTATCTGTAAGATGTTATTATCTTTATAGATTATTTTCACATATTCCCCAATAGTAAGAAAAATGGTAAATAGTTTTACTTTTAATGAATGTATTGGTTTAAATTTAGTGTTCCATTGGTTGTTTTTGGTTTTCTACCAACCTTTACTTCTGTGCTGGCGATATAGTGTGATGTCCTTATCGGGGTAATGTAGCTCACCCCTTATTTAATCATTTCAAATCAGGAGGACCTATTTCTCGAGTCCGATCCGTAAGAAGGCTGCAAGTAGATACTAGATATTTTATAGTTTCCTTTATTTTTTCCATTTCTCGTATTTCTTTCAGAGAATTTATTCTGTGATGTTTATTTAGTATTTTTAAGTTATCGTATAAGGGATGTTAACTTTAACCTTTATTTCGCTTCCACCCTCAAATTATTATATGCATTTCCTTTTAAATTTATGAGACCGTTACAAATATATTTAGACATTTAAAATATATATTTTATTAACATAGGGTAATTTCTATACAATATAATTCTATTATTCTGATTCATTAAAAGAGAAAAGCACAACTCCTCAAGTATATAACATCTATAATTATGAAGTTAATAACAAAAGTAAGCAAATAAAGGTCTATATGTCATCTATAATCATATTAGAAAGGTTAGTTGGGACAAAAATTCAATTGATAAATACTCCTCACCAAACTCAATGTGTGTATATATGTATATATATGTGTGTATATATATGTCTCTTATTATCTTAAACTATATATATGATTTTAGAAAAAGAACTATTTTAATGTTTAATTACCTACTTAATTATCTCTAAAAATTATTCAAAGAGAGCTTTATCGTTCAATGTGGAATTTTCTCCGATTAGCAAAATTTAAAATTAAAAAAAAAGGTTTGGATTTGTTTGTTAATACATTATAATTTTTTTAAAAATAAAATACTAAATGAGAAATATAAGTACGAGATAATATATTATTAAAATAATTTAAAAAAAAATAAGTAATTAGGTTTAAGTCGATTCATACATCTCGTTTAAAATTTTTCTAAGAGATTATTGTGTTATTAGTTCTGTTGATATTGGTATATAGGTGCAAACTAATTATTAAAATGTATTAATTTTTATCTTTTTTAAAAAATATATTATATTAAATACGATATTTGGATTTTAATGATATTTAATCGAAACTATTGATTAATGGAGATGTTAAAACTAATATAATTTGGCTGCATTCTCTACAAATAACTATAAATCTCAATAACATATTTTGTATTTCTCACCAAGCTTTTCATCAACACCATACATTGCAAACCCTATTGAGAAAATGCCTTCCTTTGATCACTTCACACTTTTTGCAGCTCTACTCTTTGCTACTTCCTTCCTCGTATCCCCGACAACACAGCATCGGTTATCCCCAACATTTTACGATGAAACATGCCCAAACGTAATTACCATCATACGAGAAATCCTTCAAGACGCTTTGAAGTTCGATCCCCGTATGGGTGCCAGTCTCATTCGGCTTCATTTCCATGATTGTTTCGTCAATGTATGTGATGATAATTCCATGCTAATATTCATCTATTGTTTTATACACATGGTTACGTATGCATCGGTATAATTTCGTTACAGGGTTGTGATGGGTCCGTTCTATTGGACAACAGTTTTACTATAGAGAGTGAGAAAGACTCTTCCCCAAATAAGAATTCTTTAAGAGGGTTTGAAGTCATTGATAGGATGAAGAGTGAACTGGAGTGTGTTTGTCCAGGCACTGTTTCTTGTGCAGATATTCTCACAATTGCAGCTGAAGAATCTGTTTATTTGGTATGTTAAATTTATTTACAACATCAACCCTCTAGTTTCCTTTTTTTTCTTATCAATTAGATTCATTAGTTTCCTTTTTCTGTAACTTAGATTCAAGAAAGAAAGAAGGCTTTTTATAAGTTCTGGGTGTACAAGTTTTTTAGTGTCTAAAAATTAATCAATTTAGAAAATAAACATTCGAAACAATTTTGCAATCTTTTCGTCGAACTAAGTATAGATTTATAAATAATTTTTATAAGATCTTTAAATTTATTCTAATCACAATTTAAGTAAATTTTTTTTTTATTATTTTAAATGAAATTTTATGTTGATCGTCACAGGCAGGAGGTCCTCCGTGGAGAAATCTATTAGGACGAAGAGATTGCTTAACAACAAACAAAACCCATGCGAATTCAGCACTTCCTTCTCCTTTTGAAACTCTTGATGAACTCAAAGCTAAATTCTCAGTCGTTGGCCTCAATAAACGCAGAGATTTAGTCGCGCTCTCTGGTATTCTTCTTTTCTTCTCTTACTTATAATTGACAAACACAATTAGAACAATCACTCATTACCAATAATGAGTGTGAACTTTTTAAGAGGTAGTAATTTACGTTTAAAAAATTATTGGACAAACGGTGCTTGCAACTAGAGCATTATAAATTATATCAAAACATG